ATAATAAGTGTAAATAATTTAATTGTCTTCATAGCTATATTGTAGAAGTTGTTAAGAAGACTGCAACTATTTTCATGAAACTATAACACTAATAGCCTTTTACAGGCACACTTAGTTCAATAGCCTATTGAAATGTCTTGGCCTATGTGACACAAGAAATTGTGCAAATGAAGGCATAAATCTATTTAATTTATCTTTTAATCAAATGAGAGTTAAACTCTTTATTTTTTGGCAAACGAAGGGTTTACTATGCAAATTAAAACATGGAAGAAATAGCGTATTGTGTGATTATTCTTTTAAACAGAAGTTGTAATAATTGTTGTAGTAGTAAGTGAATCTGCATATATATGCCGCCACAAATAGAGTGCAAGTCTGTGGGAAACACTGCGATAGTTTTACTCAAATGAAACGGTCAAATGATCATGAAGTGACTCTCAGAGGGAGGCAGAGCAATCCGGAGATGTTGTTTATGTATTTATGTCCTCATGTAGTGAGACGACAGAAGCTGAAATCACCGCGAGCGTCGCACACTTTGTATGTGTAGAAATTAACGATACCCATCCCTATTTAGGTCACAGAGTGGTGAGTTCTGACAGGCTGCATCAGAGCCAAATAGCGTGTTTCAAAATTAAGTTATTTTATCGGCTAATCGGTTTTGAAAATGACCGATAATCATAAAAATGCTTAATATCGGCACCGATAATCGGTCGACCCCTGAAACTTTTTACAGTTGCTGCCACAGCAACATTTCTAATTTTTTTTTAAAGATTCAGATATTTTTTTAATCTAATATTTATATTATATTTTTGTTTTATTTCAATTAAGATTCTTTTCATAGTTTTCTTCTTAGTTTTAGCTAACAATAACAACAACACCGAAGTTGACACAAAACAAAAGTTCTCACATCTTTTGACTAATTGAATACTGGCATACCGATTTTTCTTTAAAAACATTTTTTATTAAGCATGATATCCACTTGGCAAAATAATTTAGCTAAAGATAACACATACAAAAATGATAATTACAAAAACTATGACTATTCCTGTAAATCACAATTGCAATATTCACTTTGTGAACCTTGTATTTGCATGTTAGTGATTTAACAACATGACAGCTTCCGGTATAGTATAACTGACACAGTCATAATCATAAATTGAGAGAAAGAGAAAACACTCAATAACAAAAAAATAACCTTGATCACTCCCTGGTTTCTCATAAAACCCTCAATTATCAGCATATATGAGTCATCTGTAACAGCCACAATGGCAATGGCCATTTCAATCCAATGAGCAAAGACATTTTAATTTGATTGCTTTAATGGAAGAAATACAAAAACAGCCTTCTTGATGACCTAAAATGCCTCAAGCAGTCAAAGCATGCTGGGAAAACCCACTTTGCTCTCCAGAGCAGAACTAGGAGATGAAAGTAATATTCTGTTCCTGTTTGCTCACCTGCAGTGTCAGGCAAAACAAGAAAGTGTCGCACATTAACATCGGAATGAAGTCTCTGTCTACATTCATTCACATCACATTCTACTTATGTTAAGCAATAGGTATACCCTCACACAAGAAAACTAACCAAACCACAAATAATACGCAACACAATATTGTATCTCTCAAAGAAAATGGAATTACGAGACTGTAAAACAGTACTGAAGCAAGGTTTCTGCAGTCATGTGTGCATCAAGTGCCTCTGCTGAACAAAAGTTAACTATGCGCAACAGGACAGTATATAGGCGTTATACAAGATTTCAAATCCTCACCGTATCAAAGGTGAACATTCATTACTGTCAATAAAAGCATGAAAAAAGTATGAGTACGAACAGAAATATGTACTTATATTGTAAATATATATTACAGAAATATATATATATATATATAAATCAAATACTAATTATAAACTTGTAAGACATGATAAACAGTTTTTTAAAAAGCACTGTTCATTAACAAGAACATAAAAATGATTCTGCTTAGCTCAAAATACAGAATTGTTATTAAAATACAGTTAATAGTTATTATTACATATACAGAATTGACACACAGTTTTAAATATGTTTTATTAAATAATGCATTGATAATAATTAATAAACATGGATGCTCAGCTTCCAGATTTCCCATATTTGATGTGCTCTTTATATGTGAAATGATCACTGTTTATATGTGAATAAAAGCATAAATTAAATCTGCCTAAACTTTCATTTTTGGGTGAATTGTTGTCACTACACACAGTACATATTGCAGCATTTTTGTGCGATATATAACACAGTATACTGTGTTATATAAACCCCTGATATATTATATATGGCTGACATCTGACATAAATGAGAATTATATATATGTATATGATTTCCTTTGTTTGTGTGTGCGCATGTGCATGTGTGTGTGTGAGTGTGCGTTGCTATCATGGGGTCTTGAGAAGTTTAAAAACATATTGTCTTATAGCTTTAGGCTCATATCAATGTATGTGCGGTCTTAAGTGATGACTCATCTAGCTGACCTGTCAATCGAGCCTCCTCAGGCCACATTGTTGACTTCCTCATGAAGTCCTACGTCTTTCACTTCTGATCTGCGCCTCCCACGAGCTCTGACCACAAGCTCTCAACTGAACGCTGGTGAACCTGCTTCACTGATAAAAATGACCTTCGGAAAAGTTTTTAAAGGAGATAAAAAGACATGTAGATGTACGTTTGGAGAAGTATCACCTTACTAATCGCAATACAATCTGCGTTTTGCGACAGCACGCAGATGCTGCATCGTAACGGTCAAATGATAAGCCGTGAAAACAAGGAAGCCCTGCTGTAAATGGTCAAACTTCAGAGCTGCTGCTGATCAAACACACATATGTCTGTGCACACACCCATTCAAGCCTTCTGCATTAAACGGAACTTTTGCCGTAAGATCATATTTGGAATATGACAGATAGACAAAGAGGCCCGAGTTATTCCTTTATTGTGTCTCTCATGGAAAGACCCAGAGGAGCGGCTCAGGAGCGTCATGAGCATCGGCTAACAGTCTTGACAGTTCCGCTGTATCAGTAAACCACGACCAGCTAACAATAGCCTATCAATAATCATATCAGTACCAAAACCAGACAGCGGTTACCTTGAGATATGAGTGCGGCGCTTTTCTCTTTCTGTCAAATCCCTGGCTGTCAGGCTGAGATAAAATTCCCCTCCTGCTGCCTGAAGCGTCTCTAGTCAACGGGCCTTGGCCTTCACTTCCGCTTTGAAGGACGAACTTCCGTAATCCGCCTTCTTCCGAGGAGGAGGGGCTTGTTTTTGATATACGTGGTGGTGGCCAATAGAATCGCGCTTATATTTCTCATCCACAACAAGATTATAATAAATGTAAACTTTTTTTTAGCCTTTAATTACTTTTTCTCATTTTAAGTATTGAAAGATACTTAAAATACTTTTTTTTTTCTTTTTTCTTTTACTTCTAACTTGTTGTGTTAGGCAGTGATGTTATTAACTAAACCTAAAACTATTTAAAAATCGTTTATGTTAATTGAAATAAAGCAGAAATAAAATATAAATATAAATGTTAGATGAAAAAAAATGAACATTTGAAACGCTGCCTGGCAACTAACTAAAAACAAGTTTATGTTGATGTACTAAAATAAATGAAATAAAAGCAAATTAATGCCAAAGAGAAATATATTTTATTATATAAAAATTATTTTTTTAAGCAAAATTACTAAAACTTAAAATTGGAATAAAATCTATAAAAATAAAAAAATAAAAGCTAAATAATAATAATAATAATAACAACAACAACAAGCCCAAGGCATATCTGACCATTACCATTGCATGACAGTGTTGATTAAGATTTATTTTATGTTATTGTTTCTTTCTTTTTCTTTCGTTCTTTCTTTCGTTCTTTCTTTCTTTCTTTCTTTCTTTCTTTCTTTCTTTCTTTCTTTCTCTTTCCTTTCTTTCTTTCTTTCTTTCTTTCTTTCTTTCTTTCTTTCTTTCTTTCTTTCTTTCTTTCTTTCTTTCTTTCTTTCTTTCTTTCTTTCTTTCTTTCTTTCTTTCTTTCTTTCTTTCTTTCTTTCTTTCTTTCTTTCTTTCTTTCTTTCTTTCTTTCTTTCTTTCTTTCTTTCTTTCTTTCTTTCTTCCTCTTTCTTTCTTTTTCTTGCCCTTTTAGTGTCTATTGAAAGCAGATTAGTTTCAATTCTATTTTACTTTGATAACATAAATAAACAAAACTGACTTTATTAACCACATAAGTCAATTAAGATAGGGTTATTTGGGCATACAGTCATTTATCATATTTAATAATAATAAGGTAATAAGATGCCACAGCAATTTACATCTGCTCTGTAGACTGGAATACGGACCCATGCTTTGTGTTATAACAAGCTTTACCTGAAAACAAGATCAGCTGTGCATGTGGCTCAAGGTCATGTACTAACCAATAATCACCAAGCTGGGGCGCTACAGGCTAATTACGTTTACATTTACATTTAGTCATTTTGCAGACGCTTTTATCCAAAGCGACTTACAGTTGGGGAATACAATTTTTTATGGATTATTATTATTTTTATTTTTATTTTTTTATTATTATTATTATTATTTCGTCAAACGCTGGATGATTTCTGTCAGGTAAAGTACACCTGTGATTCTTAACCTTTTTTGCTCTAAGGCCCCTAGTTGTCCAACACAAAATGGATAAAATATTAAACTAAGATATTTTCAGTATTTCTAATATTTATGCTACAATTGCGACAAAGCTGCTTGTTTAAAAAAAAAAAATCATCAAAAGAAGCAGGGAGTATTGATATATTACATTTAATTAAACACAATTTATTTTGTGATTCCATAAGTTTTTAGAACTGTTTGTTCTTCAATTAAAGCCATAGCCATTGAGGGTCAATCATAAGGTCCCACTAGTTAACGTTAGTTAATGCAATAACTAACATTAACAATAGCAATACATTTGTCACAGTATTTATTAATCTTTGTTAATGTTACTTGATAAAAATGTCAGCTCATGTCCGTTAAAAATATTAATAGATATTAACTTTTTTCATGGCTAGTTCATGTTAACTAATGTAGTTAACCAATGTATTTTAAAGGGGTCATATAATGTTGCTAAAAAGAACATTATTTTGTGTATTTGGTGTAATGAAATGTGTTTATGCGGTTTAAGGTTAAAAAAAAACATTATTTTCCACATACTGTACATTATTGTTTCTCCTCTATGCCCCGCCTTTCTGAAACGCGTCGATTTTTACAAAGCTCATCGGTCTGAAAAGCGAGGTGTGCTGTGATTGGCCAGCTATCCAGTGCGTTGTGATTGGTCGAATACCTCAAACGTGTGACGGATATGTTACACCCCTTAACATACTGTGATGATGCCGTCCGGCCGGAGCGACGAGAGAAAAACATTAAAAGCCATTATAAACGAGGCATTTGTTGCATCCAGTGGGGACATAATTACTGATTATAATGACTTATACTGTCTTTTTACGCGTTGCGTTGCATCGCGCCGCGTAAACATAAAACCATGTCTGCATTTGTGATCGGAGAAATGACAAAACAACAAGTGCTACTCTACACTGCCCAAAAAACTCACTTTAAATATATTTAGGTAGGCGTGGCTGACTTAACTTTTATAAAGAATATCTCTTTGGATTTGAGACTTTAGTCTTTGCAACTTTACAGATCTTCTTTATGCACCAAGAGCTTGTAACACTCCAAAGAGAAAGGAAAAATTGAAATCTCATTATATGACCCCTTTAAAAATAAAACATTATTGTAAAGTATTACTTTTGGATTTTACGTGTTGTTTTAAGATAATTTTAAATGATTAATAACAATTTATTAATTTAAAAATGTACACAGAAAAAAAGGTACAAAATCTTGGGGTGGTACCTTTCCCAAAGGAGTGCATTTGAATACATTGAAGGTACATATTAGTACCTAAAGTATACATATTAGTACTTTTTTAAAGATTACCAAGCCAGTGACAGCTTTTGTTCTGAGTGTACCTTATAAAGTTTGATGAAGCCCCCGGGGTTGAGAAACTCTGAAGTAAGGATGCCCTAGAACAGTTTTATTACGCATATCTGATGTTTCAATAGGCTACAACCTTCCTTTATTTAGTTCCCACTCACATATTGCTGTCAAATTAAATCAGATCTTTTCTACACTGCGTTAGATGCAACAAAACCTGCTAATTACTGCCCAGCAGTATATGTAGAACAATCAGTGAGCAGTGTGTCATTAAAGTTATGCATAGGTGGCGAGTACACATATGCTGCCATATTCTCAACAACTGCTTTATGCCATTAATAACCATGCTAAATTTTACTCAGACACACAGCAGCTGTTTCTACTCATTATCCGAGAAATATTACGCATTCAGTATATGAATACAATAATAATCATAAAAAATAATTTCCCTATGACCAAAAGATTGGCACTCCGATGACAAAATAGGCTTATTTGACCACATACTGGCCTAACTCTAGCACCATCAGTCAATGTTCCTGCTACATTTCAAATAAAAACAGCAGAAAAAGATGCATATAGATATAGAAATAGATATCCCTTATGAAATGTTGACATGAGGCATATATCGGCCTGGGGAGGAGCTGAGAGATAACAGGTTGTTAGTCAGATTATCCCACAACCAAGCAGCATGTGTGGGTAGCCTCCTGCGGCTAATGATGTGTCTGGAGCCCTGATGTAGACAGAAAGAGCGAGATGGTGGGCGTCTAAAGAAACTTCTCTTTGGAGAAGATCAGTGCAGCATAGCCGCCTCCGTATGTGTGGTTTAAACTAGATTTTTCGACTATGTGTCTTTACTTCAATGTGAGGTTAAGCATATTCTGATGTTGCAGTCACATCAGCTGAATAATAAAACAACAGTTACCATGTTGATTTTCGATAGTTTCACATAATAGTCATAATAGTAATTTTACATAATACCAATACAATGTTTTGTTTTTTAATTTAAGGGAGGACAACATGGTTTCGCATGTAATCAAGTATACTGTACTCCATTAAATGAGCAATGACTGGCAAACAGATTTGTGGTTTATTCTCTGAAGAGGGTATTTTCAACAGGCAAATGCCTTTTTTACAACCCCCCCGTGTCATTTAATTTAGTCAGGCGCAGTCGAGAAATAAGGAAATGGAAGATTTATTTAACAATACAGGTATGAAAGAGGCCCAGAAAAGATATATGAAGAGAAAGAATAAATCAAGTTCTTTTAATATTCTGTGAAAAATTAAAAAAAGAAAAGAGGCTCAGCAACAAAAATAAATGTATATTGCTCTGCACATACTTTTATAAACATTCTGTGTGAGACCATAATTAAATTTTTTTTTTTTTATAAAGAAACTTAAACGAAAGTTCTGGCATTATTTTAATAATTTATACAAAATACATTGTTAAAAATGTTGGTAACAACTGACTTCCACTGTAAGGGCAAAAAAAACAAAAACAGACATTTAAAATATTTTCTTTTATGGTCCACAGAAGATGATGACAGATTTTAGATTTTTGTGTGAACTATCCCTTTAACACACTCGAAAATGTCAGGGAAATAAAATGCAATTAATCTTTTGTTATTAAATCATGAAATTAGGTACAAGTGTTTTAAAATGAGTCTTTGAAAAAGATGCAGTGTGATAACAGCCTGTAAATTCTGGCTCTTCATAATCTATGACTCAGTCCTAAGGGACACCGTCTTATATAAAACCTACACGGTGAAACTGCCAATGTAAAATCAAGCCATATGGAGCAAAATAAAATTAACCAGTGGAAACAGTTTTAACCTAAATACAATTAAGTATGACTCACAGACCTACTTGAATCGAAAAAGAGGCGATTTTGAAACAATAGGCACGGTTTTGCACATTATCGTGCATGTCTAGCATAACCCACATACACGGCTCCCACAATGCATTGCATTTGGTTAAAATGGAGGCATTATCCATGCAGTAGACAAAGAGTGTGTTAGAATACTTTTAAAATGTCCATAACTCCTGCTCAGCGACGACTCAATCATTGTGTCGCTCATCAGCAGGTCCTGGTTTCCCGTTTTTCGCCATTGGATGATACGATGGGCTCAAGTGTGTGAACAGGACTCGATCCCACTATGTCATTCTGTCTCGGACCTGTGGGGAAATGCAGCAAGCTGGAACTACAAATCCCAGAATGCAAAAGTGAACGGACTACTATAAGGGGCTCTGATGGGCCGGTTGGTGTAACTGATAAATGGATGGGTGTGGTC